GGATATATGTATATAGTGTATATTTTAAATATATTTTTTTTGTGGATGTGGTCATAAAAATTTTACAACACAGCAATTTTCCAATAAAACCAGTTAAACTACAAATGAAATGTTTCATCACTGGAAGAAATCAAATAAAACCCATAGTGGTTCATTGGTTGCTTCTGGTTCTTGTCAGACCTCACTGGTCAACTAATAATTACAGTTTCTCTCCAGATGTTTAAGAACTTCAGGGTAAGCTGGAGCTTTATATAGCTACCTTACTTTAACAAACCACATTTTCCCCACAGCTGATTCAAACTGCAGCTGTTTTTTAATGAATGCTTGGTTGGATGCTGTGATAAAATATGTTGCTGTTTTTTTTACTTACTTGTGCAACAAAACAGCTTTACAATATTAGCCAGCACTTTTGGTGTTTGATGAAATTAAATCACTATTACCTAGTAAATCATTACATTTTTGTGTATTACCAATAATGATTATTGTGGCTACAAAATCACTAAATCACAAGTTTATACAGATGTTCTGAAGAGGTGGGATGTGAGACAAATGTTTGCAGCATTTATTCTGGACTTTTTGTGGACATTTTCCAACCAAACATCTAAAAAATTGTCTTAATTATCAGTAAATGAGGCAAAACGTTCTCTGCAAAGGATGACAGAAACGTGCCGACTGTCGCTCTTGTTATTCAATATGTTGCTATCATTCAATAGTTAAATCTGTAGATATGCTGAAATACTAGTAGCATTTGTTTTCACACAGAAGCAGCCATCAAGAACTCCTAATAAATAATCTCAATTTGCGACATTTTTTGGATCGATTTATGAGTCTTGGATGCTCCAAATGCTTCCCCACATCTGCTTTTCTTAAGTTACACAGTAAACCTCTGCAGGTTTATGTGAACAGAACATTCCCATTGCTCAAATGTGAAACAGCTCTGTGTAAAAAAAGCCAATACAGGTGAAGGCTTGATGACTCAAATGCTTGAGGTATCAAACATTTGGTGACTTACAGGTAACGAAAATCATTTTTTTTTATTCACAAGTTGAACAGAAAACAAGTTTGAACAGTTTCAAGACAGAGTTTTAGGGTGTATTCACACCTGACATCATACAAACAACGAGCCGTTGTGGGTCAGGGCACTCTGAGCATTTCGTCTCCTTTGGGTTGCGGCGCATATTTGCAGATGTCGTCCCAAAATTAGTAGTAAACCATCACAAAACCACCTTTGAATGACCTCTGAAGTGACAAAAAACAACAATAGGAAGGTAAACAGAGTTAATGAGTTGTTGGTATTGATTATTTTCCCCCAATTAAAATGTTTTCTGTTCCAGAGACCAACAAGTGTGAGCCATCTAAG